CTGTCGTTGCTTCGTCTCTTCTACTTCATTAGTCAACCAGATGTTGTTTCTCATTAGGTAAGTTCCCCTCTCTCTCTCTCTTAGAATGTCTAACATCTATTTTGTCTTTGAACTACATCACACTAGTATTGAATCTAAGGCAACATAAAAAAACAGTAGAATAGAAACTAAGGAGGCCCTAAAATAAAATTTAAAAAAAAACTAATGGTAACCCACAATGTCTTCTTGTTTTTGGCGTCAATAGGAAAAAAATTGCTTGATATTTTTTTGTTTTGAACTACGTGACAGTACCTATAAAAAAAAAAAAAAAAACTACATGACACTAGTATAGATACATGTGTACTTTTATCATGAAATTTCAAAAAAATAAAAATAAAATTGTATATTCTATCTGGATAACAGTTGGGTGGGTTTGGATTGGATGGGAAATGATATATTTTTAAATATCCAATCCACCCAACCCTTTCATATCCAAACATAACCATAGGGTTTGGGACATTGGAGATAACATTTTGAATGATTCAAGTGGATGCATGATTAACTATAAGTAATGACAGTAATAAATTGTTAATGTCGGAAAAAAAAATTATTAAGGCAACCACCAAGTGCAAAAACAATACTTGTTTTCGATCTTTACTGATTTATATAATTAAATTATGCTTACATAACTAGGTAGTTCAACTTGAGCTTTCTCAGTTTTTTGACTAAGATTTAGAATTATTTAATTTAAGATGATAAACAAGTCAGTTGTAACTCTATATACAGTTTATTATTTTTATGAGAATTATTAGATTTAAAAAAAGTCGTACGCAATGCACGGAGTTTTTGTCTATAATGAGATTGAAAGGAGATAAGTTGTAAGAACCAGTGTTTTAAAATCCGGCCCAGCCCGGTGGGTTGACCCGGTGACCCGGTCCCATAACCGGGCCGGTTTTGTAATTGAACCGTTTGAGCAAAGAACCGGTCAAAAAACCGGTGAACCGGTCAAAATCGGACCGGGTTTACAAAACCGGCCGGTTTTGTTCCTTTAGTATAAATATGTTTTTTTTTTTTTATATTTTTGTGTCTTTTTCTTTTCCACTTCTGTTTTGCCCTAAATCCTAAATCATTCGTTCAGTGTTTGTTAGCTCAAAAATTAAGTGAATACAATTAAGTGATTCAAGTTTGAGGGTGGAGGTTGGGCTGTTAATTGAATGCATTGATTTATTAATTGAATGCAATTAAGTGATTCAGACTTGATAACTTTGTTTGATTTAATATATATTAAACATGTTATTTTTATAACTATTTTAATTTTTTAGTCTATTTATCATCATTAATAATTATTTTTTATTTTTTTATTATATCACTGGTTCGACCAGTGACCCAGTGGTTGAACCAGAAATCCATTGACCCGGTCCCTTCTCCTAGTTGGTGTCCGGGCCGGGTTTTAAAACTATGGTAAGAACTCTTAATTCTTTTTGGATAGGAAAAATATACAAACTCAAATTTAAAATGTATTATGAATATTTTCAATCACTTGAGTTTAATTATCGGACCAAAAAATAATGGTTACCCCCTTTTTCTATTGCAGTAAAAATATATAATTCAATTATCAACGTTATATTTTGTGGAATTAAGCACTCTGCACGCAATAGTAAGACTACTTACATTTGATATTTTTTAGACTTATATAGTGCCTGACTAGACAAATGCACCGAGCCACTCATTTTATAATGATGATATTGGACATGTTTGGAGTTAGCTTAAAACCTCATATTTTTTTGGTTTTACAAGAAAAAACTTGATTCGTTTGGACCCAAATTTATTAGGGTACTTTTTCATCCGTTTTTTGGGTCGATTTTTTTGAAAATATTTCAAACGGTTCTAAGAAGTTTTTTAATTATGACATTTTCATTTCACTTTTCACACCTCTATTTTGCATCCCAAAAGAGTAAACTCTAAATGCGCAAGCTAAAAAAAATATTTTTTTCTTGAGGTAATGAGTTTCTTCTATCTTGTTAATGTTTTGTTGAGGGAAAAAACAGGGTTTTGTTTGTGTATAAACTTTTTTCCAACTTTCACAACAAAAAGTGGACTTTTATATTATTTCTTTGACTTTTTAACAAAAATAATAGTGTCTTTATCATCTATGTAATTTGCACGTCATCATTTGTTGGGTAGTTGTCTAGCTGATTATAATTATAAGGCTTTTGAGGTTAAAAGCATAAGTCACTATTAGATTAGGGTGTATTAGAAGATCTCCCCTTCAACTTTCTTTTTTTCTTTCCACCAAATCAACTTTTAACCTCAAAGTGTTACAATTATGTTGCCTAGTGCATGCACTTTTCTTACCTAGTCCATCACAAGAAAACTAATTAAAATATAAGTACCTCACAAAATCCCTTTTGAAGATCCGACAAAGACACTCCCAAAATTTTTCGTTGATTTGGTTAATAAAGAAGTTAGGAACAAAATTATGTCCCAAACTAATCATCTTTCTGGTTCGGCTAAGGCAAAACATCTACACCGGAATTACGATATTCATAAAGGATAACTTTCTTATAATTTGATTTCAAAAAATTATCATAATTCAAACTCAAGACGTCTGTATTTACAATTCATCCTTATTACCACTTCAGTTATCCCTTGGGGTTAGTTAAAACATTGCCAAAACAAACAAATCCAAAGTCCTAGGGCCCGTTTGGTAACCAGTTGTTTTCATTTTTTTTTTTGTTTTTGTTTTTATTTTTTACAAAAAAAAACATGTTTGGAGAGTTTTTTTTTTTTTTTTTGCCAATCTGTTTTGTAAACAACCTCTATTTTTTTAAAGCACCTAAATAGGTGCTTTCAAAAACAGGGAAAAAATGTAAACCCGTGCATCCCTCAACCTCAACGAAGTCTTGTTTTCAAACTCCATTAACAACATAAAAGCTATTCTTTTTGTTCCAAGTATAAAGAGACTTTTTTTCCCCATTTTTGTTTCTCTCATTCGTCTCTATCTTGTACTTCTCTCATTCAACTCTCTTTTGCGGAGCCACTCCAACCGAAACTCCAGCGAAGGAAGCTCCAACGATGGAAGCACTGATTTTTTAGATTTTCTACTCTTTCCATCTCCATCTCCATCTCCATCGATCTCTTTCTCTCTCTAACCCCTCCGTGGAATTTTTTTTTATTGAACTGTTTGTGTTTGTTATATTCATAGATCTATGTATATATGTGCATATATATATATATATACATAGATTTGTAGATTTCAGTGGTGGGGTGGGGTTATGGGTTTGGGTGGCCAGCAGAGATTTATTTGTGTTTGTTATAGATTTGTTTGGGTTGTGGGTTTTGGTTGGGTCTGCCAGTAATAAGAAGGAAGAAAACTTGTTATGAATTTGTTCAGTTGGATCTATCAGTAGTAAGGAGAAAGAAGACTTTGGTCTGTCACTGTCTATATCCCCATTATCATTCTTTGTAATGTTTTGGATTTGTTTTGAAGGATTAAAGTCATATTAGGCTTTAAATCCTTTTGATACTTGTAATTCTTTGAATTGATGAAATAAAATTTCTCTTTCTTTTTAAAAAAAAAAAAAAGTGGCGGGGTTGGGTGATGGTTTTGGGTGGCCGGTGGAGTTGAGTTGTGGGTTTTGGGTGGCCAGTGGGGGTTAAGTGGTGGGATTTGGGTGGTAAATTTTTGATATAATACCAAACAGGTTTTTTATTTTTGTTTTTACAAATTTTCAAAAATATAAAAGACTATCAAACATATTTTATATTTTTAATTTTTATCACAAAGTAAAAAAAACTTAGTTCTGTTTTTTTTATTAAAAAAAATATAAAAATAAAAACGGTACCAAACGCACCCTAACAAACCTAAAACAGTATTTTAGCCAAGGCCCGGGTAATTCTGCTACATCACACAAAACTTGGGGATCCATAAAATTTTTGAAACCATAACGGACTTTTAAATATGTCAAAATTTTGGGGGGTGTCAATATAATTTGTAGTTGAATTTGCAAAAGATATCATCCAAACCATACCCCGGGAGCCCACTTATTAATTGGGCTGAATATGAACCCAAAAGACAATACTTATTTATTGGGCTGGAGCTTAAACCTTTCAAGCCCACACCAACCTAAACCCAAAATTAACAAACCACATTCATAAAATGAGCCCAAGTCACCCGGCTCTGATGGTTCTAATCAAAATCTACTTCAGATTCTAATTTTTGTTTTGTTTAAATGATTAGACCATCTATATAATAAAGCATATAGTCCTGTTTATACAAAACACAACAACGGTCCAAATCGTTTTTAATTTGATGACTTGCGTTAAGCAGTTAGAGACTTTCTTCCATTTGTATGCATTCATTTTCAACGCTTGCTTCAATTGAAGATTGGGCTCTATTTATGATGAATTCTTGTATTTTGTATCATTTGGGCCTTCAAGATTTGTGCTCATTTGAATGTCACTTTCAATGGAACCCAAACTTTCACTCTCCTTTATGTAATGGATTAATGTTATTTGAATTTAAAAAATTGACCTAATAATGTGATAGTAATGTTGTTTAATAGTGCTGTTATGACTGTAATTCTTGGATTTCTTCAATGAGACTTTGTCATTTGATACATCATTATGTTATTAAATTAAATTAATTTTTTAGGTTCTAATAGTATTACTTTTCTAGTATTAGACCAAATCCAGGGTTACTCTCATGTGACAAAATTTATATATGATATACAAAACCCAACACCAAATGGGTCTATGTCTTCCGTTTTAGCATTTTTCCTAAAATGCTTCTATCCAAAACAGTCTGCTTGAAATTCCAGTTGAAAGACTCAGACATGTCAGCTGAAACAATGGTTCAGCTGCACTTTAATAGCTGAGAAGTAACAGCTGGAAAGAGAGAGGAGCTGTTGTCTTGAATGAATTGAGGGCAGCAGCTGAATAGTCACGTGAACAGTGATTGTTCCAGCTGCTGCCAATAGCTGTGCAGTGCCAATAGCTGCTGCATACATCTGAGGGATTCAATGTATAGGAAGGAATTGCAGAGTGTATTGGGAGGGAAGGTTGTGAGTTTGCCACAGGTGTGCATTAGAGGGAAGCATATTGGTGGTGTGGATGAGATTAAGCAACTTCTTGAGGTTGGAGAGTTGGCAAAGCTTTTGGAAGGATTCCCAGCTCAAGATTCAGGGATTGTTTGTGACAGTTGTGGGGATGCAAGGTTTGTGCCCCCACAACTAACCTAGCCATTAAATCTATCTCTTTATGTAAGATTTCGAGCTTCCTCCTTGTGCATTGTTGTTCTATGTAGAAATAACTTGGCTGCAATGCACCAGTGAGTAGGTGCGGAAGAAAATATGACACCTCTATGGAATTAAATTTTACATTGGTCGGCTTCAATAAAATGACAGTAATAATCGCATGACCGAAAACATCCACCAAGTGAATTATGTAGTCTTCTGCAAATTCCTTTGGCTCTAAAGCCCCCTAATCACGAAACCCCAATTGGGTCAGTGGCTAACTCGAAAAGGGAAGTGTGTGTGAATGAGAGAGAGGTGTATACCATCTCAAAAAATATTGGGAAAGAAAGCATAAAGGGAACCACATGACAAACCTGTAGACCAAAAAGAAGCAGTTTAGCTCAACGATGTGTGAATGAGAGAGAGGTGTATACCATCTCAAAAAATATTGGAAAAGAAAGCATAAAGAGAACCACATGACATACCTGTAGACCAAAAATATGTCGACTGGTTGCCGTTTGCTAATCAATGCGAAGCAGTATAGCTCAACGATGTACCGACTAAACTTTTGAAAGTCTAGCATAATCTAACCCAGCCATCATTGGGGGAAATGGGGGAGAGTGTGAGAGAGACAGAGTGGTGAAGGCAGAGTGCTAACAGAACTCAGATTTAAGACTACTGAGCATGTATGGTCATAACGCGACGGGGTGAATTTGATCCTTGAAGATCAGTTCTTGAAAACATTTTGCTGAAAGCTCCAAATTCCCATTGAAATATAATAATAATATAACAGTTCATATTATCTCAGAATTACCAATGAAAAATACCAGAATAAACCTTTTCCATGAAAACTACTTGATGACCTTCTTTTTTTGATAAATAGCACCCATATTATGACTTGTTATTGACCTTCACCTCCCTTAACTAAATGATATCCTAGAGAAGCTACAACTAAAAACCCTCCCTAACGAACTACTGTTTTGCCTCTTATTATGCAAATGTCAAAAGAAATAACAGAACAGAACAATACTACTAAAGACTACAGCAAACATGTTTCCATCATGATCTCAAAACGTACACATTTCATTTCATAGAATAAAAACAAAAACAGAAAACCATATTAAGCTATGCCAATTGAGCTGGGCATTTCATCGAGCAGTTCTTTGACAATCACAAAGGCAATCACATATCAGAACAGAACAGCACTACTAAACGATCTCAAACAGAAAATGTAAGCATAATACATACACACAGAGAAATGTGAATATTCAAAGCATACATGAAACAGAGGATCTTCTCTGTCTGCCTTTCTCCTATCCTGCCTTTCGTCTTTCTCTCTCTACTGTAGCCGTCCAAAGCATTGCCTTGGCTGTGACTTTGCTGGTGGAGGATAAGCAGCAGCACAAGATTGGCAGTAGCGTGTGTGAGTGAATGAGCGAGATTTGAGATTGTGAGAAGATTTGAGATGGATTCTATGTAAAAAATTTTGGGATGAGTTTGAAATGCAGGATAGAGGCGGGAGAGATCGGTAGAGAGAGCGGCAGAAGCGAGGGAGAGGCCTACCTTGGGCAAGAAAATAGAAGATAGATCTTGACCGTTTATTGTTGACTGCTATATCAAAATTTTTAAGAAGATTTGAATCGTTTTTCATGTTAAAATTATATTGTTCGTTGAGTATGTTTATGTTTTATTTTAAAATAATTTAGACTATTGTTTATCTCTTAAATTCAAATTTTGTTTTATTTTATTACATAGACATATGAATCAAGAATAAATAAATCTCATGGTCCATTTTCAAAGGAAAAATACTATTAACAAAAAGGGGATGTATTTTATCAATTGTCTACTAATATTGGGTTTTTAATCACACGCAACTTTTTTTAATTTATAATTTTTGAATATTCCATTTATTTTTTCAATTCATGATTACAAATGATTCAAACAAAACTCAATGATTTTAGTATCGTTGTCTTATCGGTATAAATAAAAAATTTAGGTTGTTGGCCTTGAAATTTATTATTCATCAATTTTTTATTTTCTATGATGTGTTATATTCCATGCTTTAATTAAAATACATACAATATATAATATTACTTGGTATTACCTGTGCCCGAAGACACAAAGTAATAAAAAATGATAAACAATAAATATATTTGTATTCATATCCAAAGTTAAATCACAAATATAAAAAAGAGATAAAAGAATTTAAACATCAGTTTATAGTGAAGGTGAAAGGTGGTGAGCGACACTAGTGATAATAGGAGATAATGATGATTTTGGTGGCGACAACGATGGTGGCGGCGACAATGATGGTGGTGGCGATGATGGAGGCGGCGATGGTGACGGTCGTGTGGGTGACAGTGGTGGTGGTGGCAGCGCAGCAGTGGCGGTGGTAGTGGTAGTGATAGACGTAGTAGTGAGACGGTTTCAAACACACCTTTAGGAGTCTATTTTTCATATTAAATTTAGCGTGTTAATATTAGCCGTTAAATTAATTTTAAAATAAAATTTAAAGTGATTTCAACCGCGAATAATAAAAATTATTTTATTTATTTTTTGAGATTTGAATTATAAGTTATTTTATTATATAAATTTTTTTATATTAAATCTAAATAGCGTTCGCGTAAGGGCCCCGTTTGGGTTGGGCCGCCCCTCAACACAATCCATCGACAATCTTCCGGTTATAAGGCGTAAGTACAGAACTGAGTAATCAAAGCGGACCACTGACGAGAACAGGCAGGGGTGGAGAGCAGTGCGATCCAATACAAACATTTCCCAAGTCCAACTGTATTAACAGAAACGATTACTCACATCGCAGCATACGAAGAAGAAGAAGACTGTTTGAGAAGAAGGAGGAGCAACTGACAAAAGGGTCGGATCCAATCAGATCCTGGTGGTTAGGGATTGGAGGGAATGACGGTGGATGCGAATTTGGAGATTTTGCAGGAATCAGGTTGGGAGGAGTTGAGGAAAGAGGCTCGCAAGATCGAAGGCGATCTTGATGTCAAGCTTTCTTCTTATGCTAAGCTCGGCTCTAGGTTCACCCAAGGAGGTTTCTTTCACTCTCCTCTCTCTCTCTCTATATATATATATATATGTGTGTGTGTGTGTGTGTGTGTCAGATCTTGCTATGCATCACATTTTCTGAATTAGAAGTACTAACCCTTGGATTGAAATTGCTATTGGTTCTATTATATATATCCGGATTTGAACCAAATTCAGGGATTTGTGGAAACCCAATTACCATTTTTATCTGATATAGAATGTGCGTGTGCATCTGTACGTAGTTGTGTATGTGAATTGTTCATTGTTTGTTTTAGTTTGCAATTTGTTTTGTGTCTCAGGCGTAATCTATGTTGCTTCTTATTCACATCTTCCCCAAGTATCCCTATTGTATTTTGTTTATATCGTTTTCTGATGTAATTCTTAGTATGAACTGATATGGGCTGTGAAATTGCAATAGGAATATTAAATGTAGATTTATATTGAGTTGTTATCAGTTATCACAAACTATTTGTGTTCTGATTGATGGTATGAGTGCAAATTAATTTTGACTATTGAAAGAAAGTACTGCAATATGACCACTTAAACTAGGAATCATCCTCTGAAAATGGGAGGTATTAATGACTTTCCCTCAATCTCAAGTATTTCTAGGCTGCAGCTTTAACATGTTGTGAATATGCCTCGCCTCAATCAACCTTAGAAGAATAAAAAAGACAAAGAAAACATGATTCAAATGATAAGGAGATTGGATATATAGTTCGATAGTTGATTTTTGGTCTATGCTGTTTGGCTCATGTTGGGGTAATAGAACTTCAGTAATTAATTAGTAAGAGAAGTTACACGTTATTGGCTACAATTGCTGCTTCCCAGTTCAAACAATGAGTAATTTATCTTGGGTGAATGCTTTCTGATAATCATATGTGGGTTCAGGTTATGTGGATACTGGTTCACCAACTGTGGCGTCCAGCAGGTCATGGAAGTCCATGGAGATGGAGATTCAATCATTGCTTGAGAAGCTACTAGATATAAATGATGCTATGAGTCGATGTGCTGCATCTTCTGCACCTACTACCTCAGTTACCCAAAAACTGGCAAGGCATAGGGACATACTTCATGAGTTTACCCAGGTTTTTTCCTTTTATGAGTGCTGACTTAACTTTAGCACTAATTTTCTCTCAGTTCATGTAGCCTACTAGCTACCAGAAATTACTATGAATCACATGCAAGGTGCACACTAAGATCAAACATAGTATTATATTTATTGAACTTATAATTACCATTGTCAGAGTTTCATCACTGGCTATTTAGTGATGGTACTATTCACGATATACAATTACAATTTCCTTTTGCTTAAGCATTTTTGTCTTACTATGAAGAGTTCATATCATTTCTTTAGAGTACTTGTCTTCTTATTTAAATGCATATCTCTCACAAAACTGACAGAATAAGTAGTTGAATTAGTATCTTCTAATAAGAATGATAGGTTCACATCATATAGGGGTCATTGCTATGTTCAGTGGTAAATTTCTTCATACCTACAAGATCAGTGGTTCGAATATTTGGACCGTTACTATTGTTCAAATGATGTCAAAGTTTGGGCCTATGCCTAGTCCGCCTCTCCTATCACACTCAATTAATCGGGAACAATCTGGGTGATGATTTTTATCAACATAGGTAGACATCATATACTGTATTTACTTAACAAGCAAAAGCATTCTTTGTGCTAGTGAAGTACGGGAGGCTAGGCATTTAGTTGAGAGGGGACTAACTCTATTTTACAATAAGGTCATCTTTGTTGAAATAGAGGTTCACATGTCACAAGCAGCGTGCAGGTTTTCTGTTGCCATTTTGACCTTGGACCTAATAAGATATAGCTTAGCTAATGCAGTAACGTTTTCCTTGCAAACTGGCTCTATTTCCAGCTCGTCCATACTGTTGCTAGCCTACCTTTTTCAGCTATCGTTCTGAATGAGTGGCTTCCATGCAGGTCAGCCAGTGCTGCCATGAGTATTTATTACTACTTTTCTTTATAGAGTACATTCATTTGGAATGAATGAACAGTGACACCTATCTAGACAACACAATTGGAATGCGAA